AAACATTTACATTAAACATTTAAACATTTTTAATTTATTTATCTTATGCCCACAATTTTATTTATTGAATTTTCTATTTTTGTTATTCAAGTTAAAATATATATATATATATATATGTATTTGTGTGTTGATAAGCCTGAGTGGTCTTTTGACTGACTGTTGTATTTGCTCAAATAATTGTTATGGGCAGGTTACAATATAAAAATGTTTGTCATAATCATGTCTTATGATTATTTGACAGGAGTTTTACCTTTAAACTGTAAGTGTCTTTAATTTAGTTATAATTTAAATACAATAAAAATTAAACCCAGACTTAAAATAATTATCATTTTGATCCAAACATTGGTAATGTCTGACTGGGCCTCGTGGCTCTTTATGTTCAATAAATTGAGCCCCGAGGTCAAAAAGGTTAAGAACCCCTGGTTTAGTTCATTAGCTAAATGAAAAGAATACATATTAGAATACTAACAATTATTTGACTGGATAACAGCTCCTCAGCAAACCCTGTGAGAAACTAGTTCTGACAGGGGCAATGCATTAGACGCAGTCTCAGAGCAGGACGCAAGTAAAAAAAAAAAAAAACCAATAAAATTTTCATTATGCAACTCAGTCAGAGATGCACAATGTCTTACATCTCATGGACTATAAACCAGGTTATATTAATCTCTTCAAGGAATGGTGAGATTTTGATTTAATATGCACTAAAAAAAAGTGAAAAGTGTTTGTTGACCAGTTAAACTAACCGTGCAATTTAAGTTAAAACATATTACTGAGGAGGAGCATGACTCGTCTGCCATCAGAGATGGCTGGTGTCCAGAGAAAGCACCTTATTGAAGAGGAAAGCTCTGCCGGTGGCGCCGGTGAAGCGTGTGGAGATGAGCTCAGCCCGGTTGGTCAGGATGGTGTCACAGTTGGCACAAGAGAAGAGGCGACTCCCACCAATGTGATCGAGGAAGATGCGTCCCATTTTGTCTCTTTGCAGCAAATCTACAGATCTTTCTAGATGATGTCTGTCTCTGTAAGATACAAATACTGCACATTTAATTTCAGTATATATATTGGATTATTGGATTACTTTGCAGGCAATTTTATTATAGTTTGATAATGTAATAAACCATGAAGGCTTTGAGTAGATTTGTTTCTTATTTAAACTTTGTTATAAATGCTTTAAAGAAGACAAGAACCGTTTAGGAATCTGCAAAAAAACTCACACAACTAGAAGGAAGAATAAACTTCCACATCAACATTTGATAAATTTAAGTTAGATGGGGGAAAAACATTTTGTGTCACTCAAACATACTAGCATCAAACATTTAAAACACATTGCTTCAGTGGTTCCCAAACTTTTTATCTTCTGACCCACAAAATATTCATGGCAAAAATTTGTGATCCCAAATATTACTGGTCTGAGTACACAAACTTTGTTAATAACCCTAAAAACAAAAGGCTACACAAATATAAATACTTATTTATAC